CAGGTACCCGCGACCAAAGTCAGCCGCCTGCGCTACGACGTCCAGGCCCTGTGCGCGCGCCTTGCGCAGTGTTGGCATCGGGTCAGCGCTCGCGCGGTGGTCGGCGTCGAGCAAGAGCACGTCAAACCCCTCTCGGAGGAGGGATGCGAGGGCGTAGGTCTTGTAGAGCTGGGCTCTGGCCCAGCCCCACAGCGGGTTCATTTTAGAAGCGTTGCACCAGAAGCGATCCGGCAGAAGAGGCGGCTCGATGCGGATCGGGAGGATGTGCGGGTCGCAGAGCTCAGGGACATCATCCTGGGCATAGACGACCACGCATGGGAAGCCACCGCTCTGGTTCGCCGCCTTCGCCAGTCTCAGCGTCGGCGGGCTGTATCGCTTGCTCATTGTCGTGACGACCACCGTGCCTTCCCTGGCGCAGTGCTCAATGGAGCTCCGTGCAGCAGTTGGGCAGAATCGGCTTCCAAGGACTGCCCTACGCCCTGGTGATGGTGGCTCGGCTTGAGACAAGTTAGCATCCCCCACACCGCCTCGAGCTTGCACGTTGGCCAGCGGTCGTCGGCTGCTCGTGTTGGTGGCCTCCGGCTCCGACTCCAGCGGGCGCGACCCCGTCCGAGTGCCGGACGCTTGCGGGTGGAGCTTGTGTTGGTGCCTCCGACCACTTGCGAGAGCGAGAGCTGCAGTGCCGGTGCCGGTGTGCCGTTGCGAGAATCCAGGGGAGGCATCGGGCGCCGCAGGCGCATCTGGAGCAGGCGAGCACGGTGGCGCGCACTTCTGTCCAGTCGCAGATGTGTGCACAGGCAGCGCGAGAAGGAGCAATGCGCGCTGCATGGTTGCGAGCCGTCCACGTGGCGTGGCCGCTACCCTCCCTGTCCTTGGCGTAGCTCAGCTCCTGCGGCTGCTGCGCCCTCGCCAGCCGTCGTGTGGCCTGGCGCTTTCAATGCCCGTTGCCTTCCCTGCGTCTAGGGGAGCGGCGCAAAATGTGGTCTCGTGCCACCTCCTGGGACACGCGCAAAAGCGGCGCCCGCCGAATTCACGCGGGTTCTCATCTGAGACTGTGACTGCTCCT